TTAGGGTTTAGGGTTATATGTATATATGTACCCATATAGTTATGAAGTTATGAATACATCTGTTTCTCTTCTCTGTGTCTCTCTTCTCCTTCAGAAAACTACATATTCCCAAGTTTATGCAGGTATTCACGAATGCCCTGTGATTCAGCTATCCTGACTCTTTTCAGATCCGGTAAGACTAAGAATTGTGCTTCTGTGATGCTGGACTGGTTTTTGTTGATGGTATTCCTGCGCTTTGCAGCGACTTGAGATGCAGGTGACTGACAGGGCATTGTGCTGTTGCAATTATTTGAAAACAAACGCCTGAATGTGAGTTCGGGCCACACTATGGGATGTACCGAAGGCCCTCACGCGAAATGAGGTAGTCATGACAAGTTGCCCTGGGGACTCAACCAGGATGCCCACGTGGACCTGGAATTCGGCAACGATGTTGCTTGGCATAAAGGCATAGATCAGCTTGGCATCGCACATCTTTCAAGGTGAGCCCCTTGTGTCAACTAGGTTGGCTACTTGCCGGATGGCACGCCAATGAACCTGGCGGGCAACAACATCAACCATCCGGAGAACATTGGACCAGACCCACATGCTCCAGGCACAACAGAGCTCCAAAGAGCAAAGTCCGTTGTCTTGGAACTGTGTGCAGAGGCTTGTGAGGGTCTCCCGATTTCAGCCTGCTTGTGTTTGAGCCATGGTGTATGTTGCCTAGAGCGTCTTTGTCGATTAGGCTCGCCACTGCCGCGTGCTGTGTTCGCGAACGACGTGGGATACTTGCCCGACGGCACGCCTTTGAACAAGGCCGGAAACGCCATCAACCACCCGGAAGCTTGGCACAAAGTGTGACACAAGACCTGTTTGCTAACATTCGTGTTGGTCCAAGTGCAGCGTCTCAAAGGTTTTCGTGAGTCCATCTTGCTTGGCCAGGGCTCGGCGTTTAAACCTGGATTTGCTGAGTTTTTTTATCATCTCGCGCCCCAGGAAACCATTGGCCCAGATCCTCATTCTCCGGGCTCAGCTTTGCCACCATCCGCTTACGCCGCGGATGTGGGCTATCTTGTGGATGGCACACCCATTGAGGCCGCCGGCAACAATGCAGTCCACTAGATGCCGGTGACAAACAGCATGAGGTGGCACTCAGTGGTACAAGAGGTGAGGCATTGGGGTAAAGGCATGCGGCACCGGTGGCAAAGAATCCACCATTTGAAGTGCTCAGAAAGGTGTGGAGCCGTTCTGTTGCACTGTTGCTGCCCCAAGGCTTTTTGAGAGGCCGCGCAAATCAGAGGCAGTGATACAGTGCACCAAGACTCCTGTTTCCTTGGCCAGCATCGGCATGAGCTGGGCTCACCATGCAAAGGTCAAGACTCGTTATCCTTGTTTCCGAGAAGTCACAGTTGAATCAGGCCATGGGCGCCCCTGCCCAGCATCCACATTTGCATTTGCTCCCTTTAAATATCCATATCGTTTTACATGCAATCTTGTGTGACTTCGACCACAGCCTTGAGGGCTAGTGTACTCGTAGGAAGAGAGGTCTTGAAGCGATCACAGCTTCATTGCTTCCTAGTGGCATTCTGCCACCAAACTTGTCCGCCTTTGTGCGGTACTTTTTCATTGCAAGTCACCTACAGCGATCTCTATCACAGTTTCAGCACAGATGAGGTCCGACAGCATCCCCTGACCTTGAGAGATTGTGCGGCGAGAAAATGGCAAACTTATGATGTTGTGTACGCCTCCACCTGAGGTGCAATATAGGCTTTCCAAGAATTCGGGGTCCTTCGAGAGGGTTCCTCATACTGGGGATTGTATTACATGGTGTATATACTTGAGTCCCCGTATTCATGGGTAGTACCCATTGAAAACCGTTTCAGGATAACAGTAAGACTGAGAACAATAGAAGAAGACAGTAGCAACAAGGCACAAGGTACCAGGCTGTCAAAACGCCTGGGCCGTAGTACTCTTCTGTTTAGCAAGGAATGCAGGACTGGATCCGTAAAGTAGTCTTTAGTCCCTGTATGTTAATGCACAATTTGCAGAACATGGTAGTGCCCGTTGTTGTTTTCCATTCCTTCATTGCTGCTATCTTGGCATCCCTAAACCCTAAACCACCTAAACCGTAAACCCTAAACCGCCCAAACCCTAAACCCTAAGTACACAACGAACATAATCCATGCCCTGGGAGAGGCCTGGCGCTTGGGGCTCATCGGCTGCGAGGTCCTGAAGGCACTTTATGCGCAGTTTGAGGTTTAGGGGTTTAGGGGTTTAGGGGTTTAGGGGTGTAGGGTTTTGCGGTTTAGGGGTTTAGAGGTTTAGGGGTTCTGAGCTTGAAGGGTTTAGGGTTTAGAGGTTTAGGGTTTAGGTATTTAGGACTAGTGTGAATATTGTTGTTACTGTCATTCCTGTTAATATTCTTGCTGTTGCTACGTGTCGTTATTCTTGTCTGTTACTGTCATGATCATTATTCCAAGTTAGGAGAACCCTAAACCCTAAACCCAAAACCGCGTGGCTAAACCCTAAGCCATCATCTGACAGGTTGGAGGCGGAGAATCTTGCTTTTAGGGTCAGGGGACTTAATAAGGAGGTTAATAAGGGGGATAACTGGGGATACTCTATGGGTTATGGTTATGGGGGATATTCACCTACTTACGAAGCCCCCTGTCCCTCCATGTAGTAGGACGTTGCCATTTGCATTGATGAGGAGAGGCCAGGCCAATACCGAGAATGAAATACACCTCGACATCTTAAGCAGTCTTGAGCCAAGGTGAAAATTGGCAAGGTTAGATTGGAATCACATTTTGCAATAACCTCTTTGAATTCAGATGTTTCTGGAGTAACCCCTAAACCTTGAACCCCTAAACCCTAAACCCTAAAGAATCCCTTACGAGCTTGACACGTTCGGCTGTTGCTGGGCTCCAGCGCCTTTCGCCCTCAGCTCCGGTCGTCGATCGTTTCGTGGACGCTCATCACCTGATGTCACTTGGGCATCTAGGGGTTAAGGGTTCAGGCTTAAGAGTTTAGGGCTTAGGTTATCGGGATACATCCTAAAGGGGGGGTATATAGGCTCATACAATATAGGGGTAATTGGCAATGAACATGAAAACCACAAACTAGTGTTTGGGGTCAGGGTTTGGAACTCCGAGAAGTGAAGGGTCCCTTTTGAAAAGCCTCTATAAGAGGGTTTAGGGGTTATCGTATATTGGCCCTTATGTTGGGGTCCCTTGTTATTCATGAAATTACCAGTTGTTCCAGGCGACATGTTTAGGGTTTAGGGTTTAATGTAGACCCGTGTTTAGGATCCCTATCATATCCCCTATGAGGGGGAGGGAGTTCCCTGCTTCTGCGGCTGAACCAGCAGAAGAAGCTCAGCACAGACTATGGACATGGGAGGGGGTTTATTAATCCTAAACACTAAACCGTAAATCCTAAACCCCAAACCCTTTTACAATCCCTTGTAAGGGGAGGAGGGGGTTTAGTAATCACGGGTCTACACTAGGCTGCTGCATGTATCTCTAGATCATAGGCTAATGTCATGGGTTCCCCTACTACCCCCTCAATACTGTCACCGCATGATTAGGTCTGATTAAGGTGAACAGGGGGAATCTAGGTGGGTAGTATAGGGGGAGTAATATTTTCCGGTCTATGTTGGGGTCTTTCCATGTATGGAAACTAGCTTATCGCCGGGCTTCCTTGAAATTTGCAGAAGTTGGAGCTGTACATTTGATTGTCCCACAGAAAAGTCACGCGCACCCACGCCCAGGTCCAAGACGTTCAAAGTCATATACCATGATATACGATAGTATATTGTAATCTAGTATAATATACATACTATTGTGTATCTGGACCCCAGAAAGTTAAAAGCCCAGGTCCAAGACGATCAAAGTCATATACCATGATATACGATAGAATATTATAATCTAGTATAATATACATACTATTGTATATCTGGACCCCAGAAAGTTAAAAGCCCAGGTCCAAGACGTTCAAAGTCCTGGGTGCCCTCGGTGTGATGACAACGTTGGGTCTTGGCTTTGTGGCTCCAGGCCGCGTGGTGGAGAAGCCGTCTACTTGGTCCCATGCCGCTGTGGCGACGCAAGCGGAGAGCCCAACATTCGCAACAGGAACTCGAGGCAGCTGTGTTGGTCGCTTGGATTTGAAGCCAGTGATGTTCATACGACTTTTCTGTCAACAGACTTTGTAGGCTCACATCGCATCATGTCCAGACTAGGTTCCGCTGCCATGTATGCTGCAGTCATGGCAACCGCAACTGGACTCTTGGCCCGTGCTAAGCGCTCCAAAATTGCCACCCGAGCTGGCCCTGCTTCGGCTATGTCAGTGACACTGGAAGAAGTGAAAGCCGCGCAAGCAGGGTGGGCACAGGCCATCAAGACGATCTCGAAGATTTATTTGAGTGGCGGAGACTATGTGGCAGCAGCTGCTAAGGCAGCGGGTGAACTCTACGGCTATGGCCACGGCAAAGTGCTTTTCAAGCCAACCAAGGCTGCGGAAGTACAGTTCCGCCCTGAAGCCAGCCAGGCCATGTCCTACTTTGTGGGCGCCGAAGCTGTTCCCGGTGGAATCGCGGAGGACCATGGCTTTGCGATCAATGGCGGCAAGGGTTGGTCGGATGTGCTCT